TATCAACACTCTCGTCGTTGCCACCTTGCTTGTCAAGATATAATGAATCTCAAACTCAAAAACCCCCAAAACTCTATTTTCGGAGCTTGCAGCGTGGCGAGCAACCACTTATGTGTGTTTTTTTTTAACACAGTGAGAGTAAACTCGTTGCGTTGCTTGTGGTGAGGTGGGTAAGTCTTGTGCACGCTTTTTTTAGCGTGGCGGGGTAAAACTTAAGTACCTGTGTACAAGCTTATATGCCTAAGGGGAAAAAACTGCAAACTATCACACAGGCATCCCTAAGGATCCCGTGCACGCCTTTCTTGGTGTGGTAGGATTGAAGACACGACCATGGTCTCATCCAACACCGACCATGAACATCTTTTTTGACGTGGTGGTCAGGCCTAGACTCCCAAAAAATTCTCCTAAATAGGGGAGATGTCAGGAGACTGCTGAAATTTAAGTTGGTAGGGAACTGAACTAGAATAAAACTACACGTAATTGGACCTTAAACTTTAAAATACACAATCACAAAAATATATAAATACTAAACAACAAACCTAGTCATTCACATGAATATCAATAAACAAGTAAAGGACAAATGCTGAATAATGAAACTGCATGGGATATGAATATCCAACTATAAACACTAATGTGAGACTTTCAATGAATAATATAACTTACATACGAACAAGAATAATTGATGATCCTATCAATCAGCTTATAAGTAAGAAGGGATGAATGCAAACATCCGTTGACGGTTCATCTACCAGCAAATAATCAAGAGCCCATCATGATCATAACAGTTAACACAAAGGAAATAACATGCAACAAATGCATTAACGCCCGGTAGTTAACATCAACATACAAGCAAATATGTTAAATCATGCAAGTAATGAAAGTTGACATGCAATCAACTCGCCAACAAAACATGTCTAATGAGGTTTTAACAAATAAAACAAATGCATTAACGTCCGGTAGTTAACATCAACATATATTTTGCATGAGCAAATTGTAGTGCACGACAGCTCACCTACAAGAAGCAATGAGCAATCTGTAGCATAGCGCTATAACCCACCTATAAATAATGTTGGAAGATTCACGTCGAATGTAGTCTACTTATATGCGACAGCTGGAGGCTTCTAAATGTCCAATGCTCTCCAGCAAATAATGTTAAAAAAGTTTGCAATGCATAATAGCTCGCCTGCAAGAAGCAACGAGCGACTCGTAGCACAACGCTATAACCCACCTACAAGTAATATTAGAAGATAAGCGTTGAGCAAAGTTCACCTACATGCAACATATGGTGATTCCTGAATGCCTAGTGCTGGGACATGAACAGTGTTAACAAAGCTTGCATTATGCAACAACCTATCTGCATAAAGAATAAATGACCTATAGCCCAACACTACGATTCACCTACAAGCAAGAACAAAGAATTTATATTAAAAATTATAGAGCAATGGTGGAAAGCTCCTGATTCATCATATGACGTGTTTGCAGGAAAAATTACGCTCTTATGGGTCGAATACTAAAGAAAATGACAGCTCGCAAAAGATGAAACGAGCTAAATATGCCATCGGATTCGTAACATTCGTATAAGCAGGCAGAAGACGTTTACAAACACAAATGGAAATCTGTGCACTTTTTAAAAGATCATCATATGCACAATTGAGCATACATGAATATTGTAAAAATACCCCCTAATGCATTTAAATGCACATTGATGCATTCATAGCATGCATATGCATTTTACAAATATTTTGAAAGGTATATAAAGCATACACACATTACACTATTCAGGGTATATTATACAAGCATATCATTCAATATGCAAGATACCACACCTTGTGACGGTGCATTATAGTGACGCACGATCATATTGTGAATATACATGTCACAACATGCAAAGTGTTTTGCACAAACAAGTTGTCCAATATGCCAAAGTGTATCATATGCTATGTCAGTGCCCTGAGCCACCACACAAATGCACTATGCAAATTCATGAATAACATATGAATGTATTGACACACATGACCAACATGCAAATATATATGTAAATGCATAATATGTATACAAATGTGAAAGTACATATGTAAACATGCAAACCCTTCATACAATACTATATAATCACTGAATTATCATGCAAGTGTATTATACAGGAAAATATGGAATGTATCTGTGCATTATACGTGCATATCATGCGAATACATCACATACCATGATCATACATTAAACTACTACACAACATATCAAACACGTCATGAAAGATACAAATGCATACATGCAAATACATAACTACATATGTTAGTATGCTGACATGCAAATATGTTGTATACACCTCCTGCATTGCTTACAAATGGCAATTTATAAATGCATCATGCAAAATATATTCCAAAGAACGTACCCACACGGGCCCCAATGAGTGTGATGTATATACGCACGTGACATCTAAGGATGTTGCGCGGATCAAAAGTGAATAAATATACAGTTGTAACGCCAACCAGAGTATTTGATTTTCAAAGTTCATATTAGACCTTCAAGGTCTATTACAAGAAAAGTTAACTGCTAAAAGCATAGAACTCTTGATTCACAATATATGTATGATAACTCACAACATCAACAATTGCAGCTAATCCTCTATCAGTGGGCGATCAGAGTTGACACGATTCAAATGACAGATACACGACCTATTTAAATATCCCCGATGATAGCCGTATTGATAGAAAATCTCAACCGAAGGAGCCCCAAACTTTTAAAATGCCTCTCATACTTATAAATTATAAGCATTTAAAGTGACAATGAAGTTACCTTGATGATAGCCATGTTGACAGAAGATCTCAACTAGAGGGGACCCCAAACATTCAAAATACCACCAAATTTCCATAAAATACATTCAATTGACTTTAACGTATTCATGAACAATATTAATGTTTAAAATTAAAATAAAATGCCAAAATACTTAAAGCAAAATATGCATTCACCATCCATAACAGTTTGTCGAGGTGGACAAATTTGAAAAACACTTCAGCTAACAAAGAGCGAATGTCTAGTCAAAAATATAACTAAGATTCGTTCTCAAATCATTTCTTTCAAATAAGGACTTGACATACATCCTCTAACTAATGGTTTCACTGCAAAATGGTACCACAGAGAAACAACTACAACCAGACCCTTTGACCGGGTGGTTTTTCTGCTCAATGACACCACTAAATTACAATAATTTTTTGAGCTCATATGTTCTCTAATGGCATTAAATCTTTAAGAAGCAATATGATATGACCAATAGGGCACAAAACTTTTGGTCAGCTCAGGTGGACTTAAATATGTCGCTTTAAGTAAATATTCACGCCATATTTATAAGGTACCCTTGGACAAAGCAACTCATGGTTCCCAATAAGGATCCTTCGATCAGGTTGGGTCGACTACCTTCTCTGATTAAGCAGACTAGGGACTACGATAACCCAGGATGATGGAATCATGGGATCTTGATCAGGTCTATCATCATTCCCCTCACCATCCGCTTTAAGTGCAAGGTGGTGAATTTCTCATTTTAAATGTTAAATTTTAAATGCCTAATTATACGGCTACTGTACGCCATATACTATGTATTTGTTTAACGGCTAGCCTTAATCAAAAGTTCTCTCTAGTTATTGGGAGAGATAATTAACTATAAGGGCTTGCGCTTATAGGAAACTTGAACTCAGATCATAAAGCCCTCGCAAAATGAGAGCAAAATCTATGGATAATGTCTTATCTAAACTCAATCTGCCTTCTGAAAATTTGCCTCAGAACTTAAGCGTTAAAACTCTACTCGACGATCCAAACAAAAAGAAATTGATCAAAAGAATGAAGTATATTGTAGTGAATTTACTTTTCAAAGCACAGATAGGCCGAGGCACGAATTTTCGGAGCCCACAGAGATATGTGATAATGAATCAGTTATGTAGATTATTCATCAAAAGAATGAAGTAAATTGCAGTGAAAATCAAGAAGATAGGATGAAGTTTTAGAGATTCTTGTGGACTTATGGGAAGGCTTGATTGTAGTTGTCCATGAGATCGGGACTGGTTGGTGGCAAGATTTCCAATGATAGAGTGCCTTCCAGAATTTTATTACATTTAGTGACAAATAATGGAATATTAAGTGGTGGATTTGAAAAAGGAAAGATTAGTAAAAAGATAAATAATTCAATATGTGGGTTAAAATTAGTGAAAGAGAAATTATCAATTGGGGAAGATCACATTTGTTGAGAAAAGTGTTTGTTTCGTTTATAGATCATAAAATTTTCATCCATTGGTGCCCTATGAATAACCCAGAAAGACACATGCATGCTCAAACAAGAGGCTAGAATTTAGTTCATTTTGTGAAGGTTGGATGCAAAAGCTAATAATCTAAACACTTGAAAGGTGGAGTACCAGACAGTAATTTTTTGTAAGAGCTCGTATGGAAGCTTGTGGCGGAGTGATGAGAGAGTCCTATTGATCAAGAAAGTGGCACTCCATGCATTCATTCCAAATTAAATGAGAACATATGATTATAAATAGAGCGCGCAAGCCACATTTAGTAAATGATGATGTCTTCATTCAACTATGAAATTTTTTGGGGATGAAATTTTTTCGGGACATTCAACACAACGTAATTGATTGACTACTGGAAAGTTATCTCCGCCGCAAAAAAAAAGGTCAAAATTTTCATCGTAAATTTGTCGCCATTTTCGACAAAAAATAATCCACCGTAAAGCCTGTCGCAAACTACTAACTTTCTCGTAGTGTTGTAAGATGCCCTATATTCATTAAAAATTTCCCTGAAATTTAATCCTTTGTTGTTGTTTGATCGAACGATATTGATTTCGACATTATATGGTGTTGGACCAATTTTAGAAAAGTTACGAATCTTAGCAGGGGCATCTGATTTTAAGAAGAAAAATCTAGGTGAATTGACTGCATTCATCAACCAAGTGTTTGGGAGAAGTAAATCACACAACGGAATATACAATAAATAAAATATTGCGGCGGAAAGAAAAGAAAACCAAAATTTAATGTGATAAAATTTGAAACCAGGAAAAGACCATGGAGCCACACCACACCAAAAAATCTACTATGAAAATTGAGATAAATAGTACATATCTCTATTCTCTAGCACCATTCTTGCACAAGAACAAACCAAGAGATTCATAACAACCACCAAGGGACGTAACCCTTAATGAAAAAAAGAGAATGACAACTACTCTGTCTGTGTTGCGGCACCAAGTTGGAGCGCCACAACGTTCAAATCTCTGTCTCGTGTCTGTATGACAACACTGCAACACCTGGGTTTGGAGCGCCATGGCCCCCTTAGCTACGCCGCAATGCTTCGCTCTTCTCTTTTCCACTAAAATCTAGAATGTCGGGACGCTTGAGTACACAACGTCAGGATGTTGTACAATTAAAAAAAAAGGTGCAAAACACCCAAACACAATTAGGGGGAGAACCCCCTACAACCCCAGTGAGCTCGACATATTGAATTGAGGTCCGAGACACTAGTACAACCCGATTTATCGACACAACCAGATTCCACACAACTAACACCAATATTAGTAAATACAAAAGGCCAAAATGAGAGGGAATATAATACAATCCCCGAGTGTCACAATGAATTATATCAAATGCAAATTTTGCTACATTATTGTGAGAGAAAAGATAAACGTCTCTTCTTCGCAAGTCGACAAATATGGCACATTGCAATAAATCTTTGAGACAGTCCATTCTCTTAAAAGACGGAAGCCCGAGATGTTTACCCCAAACATTGATGGAAATATTGTCGATATACAAGCCTATTATAACTAAATGGAATTAAGAATGTAGCGCTCATTCTGTTTCTCATTCTTGCCAATCATTATCTTGATGTTGAGTTTCTTAAATGATGAAATAATCAAGGAAGTAACAGTGAATAGGAGGACATCGTGCAAAGCTATTGATTGAACTAAGTTTTATCTCAGCACGTAAGTGAACGTTATCTACATACGATTGGGTAATGTGTCTGTAGTGTTTGTGAGTGGAGGCGTGCAGATGTGTTTGGACGCACCGGAGTCTATGATCCAGTTTCAGAAGGTAGATAAATCTGTCATGAAAAAAGACAGAGAGACACGTACCTGCGAACGATAAAGACTGGTTGTACCTCTAGCGATGGAGTGCAGATGCTTAGACAATATTTCTAAAGTTTGATTATATTGAGATTCCTTCAGACTGAAAGAAGTTTTGTTTCGCCCTTCTCGTCATTGTATTCGCAGGCGAAAACCAGGTTGATAGTGGCATACTGGCATTAGGATTTTTGGATTGAGGGTTCTGTCTTGATTTGTAACCTGGTAGGTATCCATGAAGTTTGCAAGGAGTGCAATAGGGCGGCCCCGTCCCTTCTTGGATCGATTGTTTCTGAAATTAGAATTTCAAGAGGGGGTGGGGTTCTCGTTCTTGATTGCAAATACCATTTCACCGTGTGTTTATCTGCCTATTGTCGATCGATTCGCCCAATATTTGGAGTATTATCGGCAATTGTTTTGCTGTAATCAATCATTGAGATCTGAACATATTTCGCAAGCAGCGTTCGAAAACAGCAAGCTCGAGGCGATCATCCAAGAAATCAAAATGTTGTTATTTCTAACCCAAGAATCTAATCTGTTAGGTTTGAGCCCATACCTTCAAGCTTGAAAATATGGCCATCGATGAACCCTAACCTGTTCTCGGCGGATAGCGCGATCATCACGGCTCTGCTCCATTCTGCGTGATTCTTAGCGGTTAGAATTTGCCACACCAAAGAGATCCCTAGATTATTGAGAGTGATGAAGGCAAAAGGGACTCAGGGATCAGCAATGGACAAACCCGGTGTTCCCTTATGGAATAAGAAGAAAGATTGGGCCCGGCTTGTGCTCCATTGCTCCCCTTGTTATGATTTTTTTGTGTGTCTCTTTTTGTTATGATCTAAATTTTAATGACAAATTATTTCCCGTAGAATTTGGACTTGGAGAATCATCTGAATTTGCTAAGTATTTATTGAGTATTTGTTATGAATTTGTAAATACTCATCAAATACTTAATAAATACTCAGTTGTGAATATTATTGAGTATTTTGTAAGTATTTATTGAGTATTTTGTGGTTATTTGTTGATTTATTGTATATTTTATGAGTATTTATTTGTTGAGTATTTGCAAATATTCAATAAATACGCAACAATTTGGACAGTTCTTCCCGTCTGAATTCTGTATAGAATAATTTCTCAAACTTTATTAACCCATTTCTATTAAACTTTTTTATAACTTATTAACTATAAAATTCAAAATATTTAATAACATAACTCATTTAATTAATGGGTCAAAAAATTTAATTCAAATCCAACCCATTTATTAAACAGGTCAATCATAACCTAAAATTTTCAAACCGTAGTTGAGTCGAATCATTTATTAGCACCCCTAAATTTGTCCATCCGCTCTGCTATTACACCTTATCATATTTCTATACAAATGATAAAGCAAAAGTAGTGGTTGGAAGACATAGATGGGAAATGTTACCAACCCTTGCTAGTTCTACATGTAAATGAATAATATAAAAGAAATAAAATATTGAATAAATTAATAAAAATAATTGAACATATCCAAAGTTTCTAATGACAGTTCCTTCTCTTTTAGGACCGGATGTCCGGACATCTAATCCAGACGCGCCACGTCACCCAAATACATTGGGACCCGGTGTATTTGGGTGACGTGATGTGTCTGGATTGATGTCCGGACGAATTCAGACACCGGACGTAATAATTTGCCTCTTTTAGCCAATCAAAGGGAATTTCGGTTTGGCTTCTTGGATGATGTTTTGTTTTTTTGCATTACAAGAATCTCGTGACAGCTGCATTCACAAACATGACAAAAGAAAACATACATTGAATACTGATCAAAACCCAAAAATATCAGATATTTATATAATAATTATAGAATAACAATTTTTTTACTATAAATTAATAATTAAAAATATTTTTTATTATAAAAAAATTTATATTATATCATCTCTGATCACAAAAAAAAAAAAAACATTTTATACCATAATAGACTCACTCATTTTGGCTTAAGATTGTTTGGACACAAATTGTTAGTCCTTCCGATGGATAAATTATTACATATAGAAATTGGATATAGAGAACCGTTCGATTTTGTATATGTAAACAATAAAAGCATATTTAATATTCATCATTATACAATAATCTCTCTCGTTGACTCAATTAGGACAGTACATATATTAAATTTAACTAATGTTAAGAAAGGTAAATATAAGCCTAAGAAAACTTGACTAAAATATTAAAATTGATTTTTTTTTTAATATTTGAATGAGAATTTGACTTTTAACATATCATAATGAAAAAGAAAATAAAATCAAATAGTCGATCAAACATAATGTGGAAAAAGCTAGATGATGTTGTTATTGTTGTTGATAGGCTTACTCATTTTTCGATATAACTAAATTATTAGACATTTCCGATAATATTTTTACATTTGTCTAATAATTCAATTGTATTGACAAATAACAAACGATGCATATCAAACAACATTGAAGATAGCACTAATGTTCTATAAAAATTACTTCATTACACACCATACCAATCCATAAACCAACTCTCAAGAATTAGAAAAATTATTGGTCCGGATAGGGTACCGAGCATATCGAGCGGTACCACTATCGGTACTAACCGCGGTACCGAGCTCGGTACCGACCGCGATACCGAGCTCGATACCGAGCGTCCAGTGATGTGACGCATTTTTATTGATCTCTGAATATGCTCGGTGTGTCCGGACACAATAATTATTCTAAGAGCTAACTATGCTTATTGATGCAGAGGAAAGAAAGCTGCAGATATGTATATAGTTATCTACAGGCGGCTCTTCTTCACAGGCCCCAGCTCCTTCGCCTTCTTCCTCAGAATATTTTTCTGTATCTTTCCAGTGCCCGTCTTGGGCAATGGCCCGAACACCACAGACTTAGGCACCCAATAAGCTGGCATTTTTTCTCTGCAAAACTTCATAATCTCAGCAGAAATGGCCTCCTCGTCCTTCCCAGCTCTGGCATCTGGTTTCAGTGTGATGAAGGCACAAGGAGACTCCCCCCACCGCTCGTCCGGCCGAGCCACCACCGACACCTCCAGCACCGCCGGGTGCTTGTAAAGCACATTCTCCACTTCCAAACTGCTAATGTTCTCTCCGCCTGAGATTATTATATCCTTGGACCGATCCTTAACTTCAATGTATCCATCGGTGTGCTTTACTCCAAGATCGCCGGAGTGATACCAGCCGCCGGCGAAAGCTTCCTGGTTTGCTTTCGGGTTTTTCAAATAACCCTTCATGACGCAGTTCCCGCGCATGACGATTTCGCCGATGGTTTTGCCGTCGGCGGGGACGGGGGCCATGGTCTCCGGGTTGACGACGTCGAGGCCTTCGAGGCCGATGTAACGGACGCCCTGCCGGGAATGAAGGCGAGCCCGGGATTCAGGTGGAAGTAAGTCCCATTCGGGCTTCCAGACGCAAATGGTGCTGGGACCGTAGGTTTCGGTGAGGCCGTAGGTGTGAGTGACACGAAAGCCTTGGTCGGACATGGAAGCGAGGAGGGAAGCAGGCGGAGCGGCGCCGGCGGTCATGACGTTGACGGTGCGAGGGAGGGGAAGGATCTTCTCGGCGGGAGGGGCATTGATTAGTGAATTTAGAACAACAGGTGCTGCACAAAAGTGGGTCACTCCTAGGTTGGCTATAGCTGAATAGATGGCCTTAGTTGTTACCTGCATAAATATGGAAATCTGAATCCATTACAAGCAACTACATGTGAAATCTTTATTTTTTTTATTTATTTATGATGTCCTGTGAAGTAGTTGTTTGGTGAATGGTGCAATAATTCTGTGCGGAATCCGAATGCATTCGGATTCCAATTAAAATTGGCTACATCGCCTGTACACACGCTGGTATGTATAGGCGACGTGACTTATTTTGATTGAAGTTCGGATGCAACCTATATCCAAATTCTACACAGAATAATTTCTCCGTCCCCTGAGATGAGAAGATGAAATACTTCACTCTAGTAAAGGAAGAATAAAGTGGTTTTATGAAATTTTTGTTGTCTAAAGAAATGTATTAAAGGATTTCATTCCTGATCTTCAAGACCGACAAGACTTTCCTAATCAATTTTTAGAATTATGTGCATGCCATTAAAATCACGCAAATATATAAATCTAATACCTAGCAAAAAAAAGAACTTTTTTTTTGTTCTGTTTTTGAATATGGAGAATGATGAACAGGATTGATGAAAAAAAAAAGGCACAGATTCTTTTTTCATTATTATTGCAATAATCAACAGGCTTAGTACTGCATCCCTTAAGAAAGCATTGGAATTTATATTGGAAGGATTCAAGAATCAGTATTAGCTAATTTTATATTAAATTTGATTGGAGATTGTAGTAATACTCTTACTACATGAATTAAGAGAAAAAAGGCAGCTTGAAAGAATCCAAATAATTACTGAACCAAAAAGTCAAGTAATTTTGTCTAAGGAGGGGAAAAGAAAACACATTTGGCAACTTGGGATGACTATTTAACTCAATAATAATGTGGCCTTCTGCACATAAATGTGCTGATTAAAGAAAAGGTACCTGGCGAAGGCAGATGCTGGTTCCAAATAACGCTGCGAGCGACCAAGTGTAACACCATCCATTGCAATGAAACATAGGCAAAGTCCACAGGTATACTGCACCTTCATTCAAGCCCCAAACTAGCGCAGCACTTAGAGCCATAAGGTAAGCTCCCCTGTGATGCAGAACCACCCCTTTAGGGCTGGATGTTGTTCCTGAGGTATAACCTATAGCTATGCTCTGCCACTCATCCTTTGGTGGCTTCCAAGCGAATTCAGGATCTCCAGTTTCCAAAAGTTTTTCATACTCAACAGCGCCATTCCTTAAAGCTGCATGAAGAGAGTTCGGGTCACAGTTTTCATCACCGATCACAACCATAAGTGGCCGCCGGAAAGTCTCTTTTTTGTGTTTATCAGCAATGATTTTTAGAGCTTCTTCGGCTAATGAAAAGTATTCCTGATCAGCCATGACGACCTTGCTCGATGAATGTTCCAATAGAAAGGCGATTGTCTGAGCATTTAAACGAATATTTAAGCAGTTCAGCACTGCTCCAGCCATAGGAACGCCAAAATGCGCTTCGTATAAAGCTGGAACATTTGGAGCGATTACAGCTACCTGTTAAGTTCTACAAAGTCAAGCTCTGTTCGAATAAAAAATAACTGAGATGAAAAAGGAACAAAATATTAAGACCAAAGATATGATGGGGAGGAAAGCACATCAAGAAAGAAAAAATGGACAAAATGCACTTGCAGGCACAAAATCTGCATGACTTTTAACATCACTAGCCTAATCCCATCTATTTGCAAGAAGTTTAGTTCTAATTTGAGAAATGTTCTTGAAATAAATGCTTATGTTAGTAATATTTAAATTTTGATATTAATGGAGAAGAAAATGATTTACACTGAAAGAAAATGGCAAGCATAAAAACTAGTAACTTTACATTATGAGGCTACCTTTCACAACATTACAACAACAGCAACAAGCTTTAATCCCACTATGTGGGATAAAGGATAAAAATAAATTAAGAGGAACTGATGGATTTGATTAAAATGTTGGCAATGAAGTTATTCAATGACCTTTCTATAGGTTTGGGTCAAGCTATAGGAAGCAAGAGAGAGAAATTGTGGCCAGATTCTCTTTGATTAATTGGGGATTACAAAGAACTTAATTGACTCTTTGAGAGAAGAAAGGGTGAGTCCGATCAAGATCACAAGGATTCTATAGAGGCAATTCTTCATGATGAATGGCCTTGCTAGCCTAATGATTTCTATAGTCCTTAAATGAGCTAAATGGCTAAGTTTTAAGGACCGAACAAGATTGGTTGTCCTAAACTACTAGATGAAATTCTAAGTTCTAGGAGTAAGAATAGTAAGCAACTAGCAAACCTTGGGCATCAACTAATCTCGATGAGTTGTGAGCAAATTTTTAAGCAGTTCATAGTTAATAAGTTACAATAATCAATTGACTTGATCAATCTCACCCAAGCAATGAAAATCCATTGATCTGAGCAAAATTGCTTTGCGTTCATTATCTGCAATTTTATTTTATTTTATTTTATAAGTTGAGTTTTTTGCAACAATCCTATGAAAATGATCCCTTTTCACTTTAGCAAAAATTTAAAGCCTCCTAGCATAATTTACTGTAAAGAGGACTCTGTATTGATGTAATAAAAAAAATTTCTGTATTTCATCCGTCATTCATTGTATATACACATCTAACTGCCATGGTCATAATTTAACTTTATATTGGATACTCCTAAAGAGGGAATTCTCATAGAAAATAGTTTTTAATTCAGAAAATTAGTGAAAAGTGTTGTCAACTGAAAAGTCTATCAATAACAGTGCATTATATTATCCAGAAACTCTTACTTTGTGTGTGGATGATCCTGATCTACCTGAAAATTCTTCTTTCTGATTCTTTTCAGATATCTGCTCTAGCTTTAATTCCTTAACATATTTTATAGCACTGAAAACGAAAATTGAAATAAATTCGAACCAACTGTAATAATCTCAATTTAACAGCAAAAGATTGAGAAATTGAAGAAGGAACATAAATTAATTTTTATTCCATATGAAACAACATTAAGTGAGTATCTCCATGAGACTGAAAATCATACGAGTCGGAATTTTCCAGTAAGCTCACAGATAATCCAATTTATTTCAGGAAAACATTAAAAAAATTAAAAAGAAAAATCGATCAACCAATCATGGAAAAGAACAAAGTAGAACCAGCAAGAACAATTTAATATTTATTAATTTACTAAAGAAGTGATAAACGTCCTAGCAAAAAGAAAAAATTACAATTAATAAATATATCTAGATAAAACAACATAATAACGAGCAAAATCCACAAAAAATGGAGAAGAATAATTCTAGAAATAAAAGCATAAAGCAATTCGAAATTTTAATTAATCAAGGGAACAGCATCCGTCCAATCCCAAAAAAAAAAAAATCGCTGGTTATACCTGAATCATTTAGAAAAATAAAAAAGAACAAATGTAGTCCTTAATTTTTTAGAAGTGTAGTAATAGCCGACAAAATTCAAGAAGAAATGAAGAATCGTGCGAAATTTAAAAATAACAAAACCGAATCAGAAAATCACAAACACCAACAAAATTGGACAACAGAGAGTTGGCCAAATGAAAAGCTTACAGTACAGCCGGGGCCGATGGATCGTAAGGCCAGAGCGGAGGCGAGTCGGCGGCAGCGGCGATAGGTCTCAGCCCACGAATAGGTGGTGCTTCCGTGCACCACCGCCGGCCGCCGCGGCTGAACGACAGCAGCCCGCTCTAAGAACCAAAGCGGCGTCAGAGCTTCATGGTTCGCGGGATTCTTCGGCAGATCGTCGATCTCCCTCTCTCTCTCAATCGTCGCTGCCATTTCCTTTTTCCTAATCACGACAGTAGAGTTTGGCTCAGTTAAGAAGTGAAGAGTTATTTATAGTGGGGAGAGACGGGTCACAGAGCATCCGTGGATCGTCGGCCTTCGTCTGGATTGGCTCCACGTGCCCGGCTGCTCATGCTTGTGCCGCACAGCAAACTAACTCCAGCTAAGAGAAACAACCATGACTCTAAAACCTAAATTTTATACGCAGCTCATCTTTATCCATTAGTTTTGAGTTTAGATTATCAATAAAGAGATTTTGAATTCAAATCTTATGAGTTGCGGAACTATTTTAGACTAGTCCCTTCTAAAAAAAAAAATTTTATAAGAAAGAAAAAAAAAATTTATAGAGAAAAAATTTTTTTGCCGCTCCTAAAAAATGACTTTTGTCCCTTTAAAAAACTCTTTTGTTATAACTTATCCTAAAATGTCTATATATTTCTTCAAATTTAGTTCTAATATTTTATTTCGTATTTTATATATATATATATATATATATCGAATTATTTTAAACATGTTGTTGCATTTATTGACAATTATTTTTGTAATTTTTGAAATTTCAGATGACAATTTATAAAAGAATTTACATAAATTTTATTATAAAAATTTAGCATATTCAATAATTATATATATATTACATAAATGCAAATGTAATTCTCCGAGAATCCATTTTAAGTCCTTTTCTCATCTTATTATACTTTGTTTTGGCTTTGTCTTTTTCTCAAATGATAAATGGATATATGGAATGAGCAAACCAATTCTAAGTAGACTAAGTAATTCCTATTACAAAAAATCAAAATCAACATTTGCAATAGTTTAAATTTAAAGCAACATAAGATTTTGTAGTTTAAGTTAAAGTAATATGTTGCTATTGTGAGGATTTATCGTTTACATGCTTATATGAGTACTAAAGAATTTAAAGAAGCAGAGAGAGATATAGAAAGAAAGAAGAAAGCCAGTAAATGCCGAACAGATGAAAGAAAATAAAGTGTTATTATTCCACTGGTCCTACAGGTCCTATATATAGAAAACAATATACATAGATATCAGTGGCCTATTGCCACGTAGATATTTAGATGTAATTTATTTATTTTTTCATATGTTCTGTTAAGTGCAATTAGTATTAATAGTTTTACTTACCAAGATTTTGAACTTGAAAAAGGTAACAACATGAACTTTACTTAAAATTGTAGATTAGAACCCCATCACAAGTAATAACATATACATTACTATATAAAACTTGAACATGAGTATTAGAAATATTATGAGAACATCACTAGAACTTGAGCATGGGCATTAGAAACATTAACATCTTTTGAATTTGAATAAGGGTACTAGTATATATCACATGATAGACTTGAAATGCATTATATGAAATGTGATATGCATATGTCCCTCAAGTTTCACTTAAATCTATACGTTATCATCTCACATATGGTTAATGCTTACATCTCTATGTTATCAACACACACTTTTATATACATACATGCATGTGTACGCGGTCCATTATAACTCTACTTATATTGGACGTGACATAATAAGCTATTATACACATTTCCACCATTCCTCCTCTATATGCCATGCACATGTAAATATCAATATGTTCAACATGTATATGCAATACTTAATATGAATATAAAAATAAAAGAATTGACATATGTATGACATTCCAGTAGAGAAGACATAAAATTTGCATACATACTCAATATTAACCATTTAGAAAATTATTCATAAGAAATGTTTATAATATTATATGAAGACGTTTAATGAACTATAGCCAATTCCATAAGTGTCACTTTTTTCTTATAAAAATAATTAAACTAATGCACAGATAAAACTACCTTGTGAAAATCTACATTTTCCCAAACAAAATTATTAGAACAACTTATTCTATAATATTTCAAAAATTACATGATAAAAAGTTTCTCAAACATAATAAAATCACATAAATCCCAAATCTACTCATACAAATATCAAAGTTGAAATTTAAAATAGGATATCGACAGCATACTTCGAGTTGGATAATTCTCCCAACTAGCTCGACAGTATCTAAAGCCTAGTTTCTCTTCTTCTTCTTCTTCTTCTTCTTCTTCTTCTCTCTCTCTCTCTCTCTCTCTCTCTCTCTCTCTCTCTCTCTCTCTTCTCCAGCCCCTCTATGATATATTTAGCAAATGGGAATGATGAATGACAAATGATCTATTGCTTTTGGATATTTATATAAAACTCTCAAAATCAGCCCAATCTTGTGGCGCCACTTCTCCCAATGCTGCAACGCTCCAATAAAATATTCTAGATACTCTAGACAAAGAGCTTGGTGTCATAGCTTCCATTTATAGTGATGCAGTACTCTCAAGTGCATTCTAAAGACAAAGAAGGTAGTGCCACAATGTTTTTCAGCTCAGCAACGCTCCCTTAAATAATTTCCCATAAAAAAAGAGGACAACACCGTTTTGAAGCCCTATGATCTAATGGAAGGATTGAATTCCTAAATCTAAATTTAATTTAATTACAATACAGAATAAATTGGAGCTACTATAAAATTTTAACTAATAAAAATAGTTTAAACATCATTTCTCAAAACTTATATACAATAATCTAGTTCACATAGAATCCATACATCAAAAGAATTAATTTTAGATTGCAAAAAAACCTCATAATATCTGGTTATATCAACTTTGCCCTTGCCACTCTACTTGGCTAGCCCCTTCCATTTTCCTGAACCATCAGGGAATATCTTAGGGTGATCAGCACAATAAGCTTAGTAGACTTCCTTAATAAACCTATCACATATATCAATATTTATTTAATTAAATAATAGCAATTTATTTAAATATTTGATAAATCAATAAAGAATATACAAGGTACTAATGGAGAGTAATTTCTTAGAGTTACCCATGTATTCATGGTTTAGGATTATTACTTATACTTTCACAATTCATTTTCAAAAAATAATCAGAGATGCAAGAATACATTTGCTATAAGAACCTTGCTTACACTTAAACTTTTTTGTACCTTCTGAGTTTTTATAGAGATTTCAGAATGTATCAAAACTAAATCAAAAATATTATTTGTATTACTTCGTTTATTATTAGAATATGCACTGCATAAATATAAAACACATGTCATGATGCATATTTATAACTTCACTTTCACTTATAACTCTATTTAAACTCCCGTGCATGTATACAACAAGTAGAGTCAGAATAAAATAAATAAAATAACCTCCCACACCTGTATTTAACAAGTTGGGCAAGTGAAAGTGTGTATGACATACCAAAAGATGGATGAATTGATATTTTAAAAATCTTTTAAATGAGATCAAAGTATAGTGCAAAATCATTTATGAAAATAAGATTTTCAAAACAAAATCACAAAGAAAATATATTATTTTTCAAACTTATACAAAATATTTTTTGTTTATGATTTTTAAATAGGATTTCAATCATAATATTATTAACCAAAACTTTCCCAAATATAATAAAAACTCAAGTAAAATAAAGTGCAAAAAGCAAATGCAGAAAAAAATATAAATCAAAATTTTGTAGTAGTTTGATTGAAATCGACCTATGTCCACTCCTTAAAGGTCATCCTCTGTGGGTATTGCACTAACTCAAGCTCTTTTAGCACACAATTTGGTAGTGAAGCCCTTCTCCCTTATCAAGTGTTGAATGACCTTTACATACTCTTTTATCCCAAAGAATCACCCTTATTTCGCCTCCCGACCCGACAGATCGAGATGTTGTTCCCTCTTTTTACTCCTCGTATGATTGAGATGTCAATCACGCCTTTCGCTTTTAAGCCCAATGGAAATGCACCTCCTTCCCTCTGATCCTCGCATGATGAAGATTCCAATACTCTTGCTCCTCGTAATGGTATAGATACTCTCCCATAGCCTTCTTGGAACACCCATGTGCCCCTTGACACCCTAAAGGAAAGCACTCCTCCAACCTTACCTTCTCTCTCTCCCAAGTGATTTCGACACTCTTAAAAACAAGAAAACTCCCTCTCCTTCTCTAGAGTTCTCTCTCTAGAAAAATGTCTCTAGTTATTAAACCTCTTACCCTTAAGTCATGTGAGATTTAAATATACTGGGTTATTTAAATTAAACCCTAATTTTGAGATTTAAATAGATTGGGTTATTTAAATTAAATCCTAATTTTTATATTTTAATTGCTCTAAATGTATAGTGCAATACTTGAATCGTACTACCCAATTAGTTTAATTCTCATCTCTAATTATCTTGTACAATGTACAAATAGTACTATATGATTAGTTATATCAAATCACATATCATATAGGATGAACAAAGGTTTGGCCAGTGAGCTATCTATTATATCACCTTGATGATATGGATCATACAGTTTGATAATGAATTAAAATTTAATCCTGATTTAATTCATTAATCTATGAGATAAAATTAGGCAATATTAATTAATGTTCATACAATACAGAAGTCTTTGTATGGTACAATTAGTTTAAATTTTAAATTTCAAATCTGCCTAACTTTAGAAATATAGATTCAATGATGGGGTTTATTAAAATATTAGATAGTCCTATATGATTTAAGGTTATATAATATGATTATTTATAACTCAAATTAATTAAATACTTGAATTCATTTTTGTTTTGACAGATCATATAATATAATTTAGATTGTATAATGTAGTTATAAAAAAAAAATTCAAACACTCAATTCATGTTCCCTTTATAAGTATGTGTTTGGTTATCTAACCAACATACACCTAATACATAAAATGATTTAAGAAAATAAAAATATACAAATTTTATCACAAACTAACTTTAGACCTTGATGATGTACTATATTGAATGTGATTATTCAATCCAGCTTGGTGTATGTTTTATCAGAAATGGTTAGTAACAAAAACAAATGCAATGTATTTAAATAAAGAACAAATAAACAAACTAATAATATTTATAATCATTAAAACAATAAGTCAGACTTCTAAATTTCAATAGTTTTCCCTTTTTTAGAATGACAAATATTATTGGTTGAAATTTAAATTTACAAGTTTTATATTTAACTTAATGTTTAGTTCTCTCCCTCACTAAATGGT